TTGCCTACTTTGGAAGAATGGATACTTAAAGTGTCTAATTTAGCAGAAATGGCAAAAATCTCCGCCTATTTGAAGGATCATTCACAAGAAAGATATATTATGGTTTGGAGAAGATGGATTGATTATATTCAGAAGAAGTATGAAACTGAAAAGTATTACCTTGCTTTTGAATAGATTTTAGATAATTATTAACAGTATTAATTATATTATTATTTTTGTCTTAATTTGTTAATATTTGTTTTGAGAAGGAGTTAAAGTGTATTATGGTTTTGATTGATAGTTTAGTTGGTTTATGTTAGCTAGATTATGTTTGTTTATTTGTTACCCTGTAATCAGCTCTGGGAAGTGGGGGAAGGGGGGAGGGGATGGGTGGGTTTATATTGTAATTTGTAAAATTTTTAATAAAAAAAGACTGAAGAAAATTGGGGTTTTGACTTACTAGTGAGAATTAAAATAGAATATACTCAAGTAGATAAAATGTGTAGTTTGAATACTAGATATTTTAATAAGTGGAGATAAAGAAAACTTTTGTCATTTAAAACTTGGAAGTATAAATATTAACAGTTAAATCTGAATGTTGATTTGCTTATAAAGATTAAATGTAAAGGTAATTAAGATAGATATAAGCTAAAATTCATCAATGAATGTAATAAATATGTTCTTATTTAGCAGCAATAATAAAAATTATTAGCTTAAATATGAGATAGTAGATATTAAGAGAAAAAGAGAGGGAGTATTAAATGTTGAAATAACAGAAATTTTGATTACTAAATTTAAGATATTTGGAAATTACCAGAAAATAAGAATATTATATTGTATTATTAATTGGTTGATGTAAGATGGTGAGAACTCAAATAGATAAGATGTGTATCCTGAACATTAGATCCTGTGATGAATTGTGATAAAGGGAATTGGGGTTATTTAAAACTTGGAAATTATAAATATTAAACATTAAATTAATGGGAAACTAAAAATTGGGAAAAATAACCAGGACATTGATTGTCAAAAAAGATTGAATGTTAAAACAACTAAGATATGTATAAACAAAAATTATTGATAAATGTAAGAAAGTTATTTTTATTTAAGCGATATAAGAATTGTATTAATTTAAATATGAGGCAGTAAATACCAAGGGGAAAAGAGATGAATTATTTAATGTAATAGTTTGAGATCTGTACTAAAGATATTTGTGTCATTGAATTATTGACCAACTCAGCCGCCATGTTGCTTTTCAAATATTTAAATGTAAAATTAGAAAATTAATTTTAAAAATCCCCCCAAAAAACCCCTGCAATGTATCGCGACTTTTCCCCCATTGCTAGCAATGGGGTGGGCGCGGTTTTGGCGTGATGCATCCGGCCCACGGGCTGGCAGTTTGACATGCCTGATTTAGAGTGTCACTTCCATCTATTTTGCTTGCTAATGTTCATTTATTAGAGCCTAAAATGGATTATATAAAGTTAGATTTAATAACAAACAGGGAGGTGAGAGATTGCTCTGTCATTATTACAACAGAAACTTGGTTAAAGCACTGTGTCCCGGATAGTGTTGTTAGCTTCGTGGGATTTTCAACATTTTGGCTGGACTGAAGTTTTTCTCTTAGTGGCAAATCCCAAAGAGAGGGTGTCTGTTTTTATATAAATGCCAAATAGTGTAATAATGCTAAGGTGCTCTCAAGTCAGTGCTCCTCTGATATAGAGCTTTTGACTATCAATGTAGGCCCTTGTATTTGCCTAGAAAAGTTACTGTTATTACAGTATTATAATTGTGTATATGCCTCCTTGTGCAAATAGAAATGAGGTCCTAAATGTTCTCTATCGTACCATCAATAACTTACAAACTATTTACTTGGAAGGTGCCTTTATTGTAGTGGGGGATTTTAATCAGGTTGATTTGAAAGCAATTTTGCAACCAGAGGTGGGAATACACTGGATCTTGCCTATTATAACGATAAGAATGCATATAAAGCTATTCCCTGCCCTCATCTTGGCTCCTTTAACCATCTCTCTGTGTTGCTTATCCAAGCATATAAGCTTCTATTGCTTAGAGAGAAACCAGCCATGAAGCAGGTGAGGGTTTAGGCAGAGGGAGCTATAGAAACATTACTATTTTGCTTTGAACAGATTGGGGTATGTTTAAAGAAGCTGCAACAGATAACCAACATAATGTAGAGGTGTATGCCACCACTGTGCTTGCATATATTCAGAAGTGTGTTGAGGATGTCTGTCCTTAAAAAACATTGTTGTGCAGCCTAATGAAAAAACATGGATGACACATGAGGTTAGCAAGATGTTGAAAGTATGGAATGTGGCTTTTAAATCCAGTGATATGCAGGTGCTTAGAACAGAGCCAATTTGAAAAGTGCCAGAAAACAGCAAAGCAAGCTCATTGTCAGAAAGTTCTGAACTTTTTTCAGGACCCGACGAATACTAGGCATTTGTGGCAAGGCATCCAGGCAATTACAGACAACAAGTAGTCCTCGAGTTACGAATGAAATGAGGTATTCAGGGTGGGGAAGGCCATGGGGGAGGCTAGTGATGGAACAAGCCCCCAAGCCCTCCCCAAACTACTAAGATACCTCACGCTTCCCATTCCTGTCGCATCGGACTCACTTACCTTGCAAAGATCTGTCTCCTTTCTGCCACTGTTTCTTTCTCTTTGAGGGAGAGGAAAGTCGATGGAAGCTCCTGGGTGCAAAAAGTGTTTGTGGTGCCTGTCACTGCTCCTCCTCCCTGACTTCTTTCCACCAAGATCATGTAAAGTATTAGTACCACTTTATAAAACCCTAGTAAGACTACACCTGGAATACTGCAACCAATTTTAGTTGCTATACTACAAAAAAGATGTTGAGACTTTGGGAAAAGTTCAGAGAAGAGCAACTAAAATGATAAAAGGCCTGGAGACTAAAACATATTAAGAACGGCTGAAGGACTTGGATTTGGTTAGTCTAAAGAAAGGAAGAAATAGGGATGCCATGATAGCAGTATTCCAGTATTTGAGGGGCTGCCACAAAGAAGAGGGAGTCAAATTATTCTCCAAAGCACCAAAAGATAGGACAAGAAACAATGGTTGGAAACTGACCAAAGAAAGAAGCAATCTGGAATTAAGAAGAAACTTCCTAACAGTGAGGACAATTAACCAGTGGAACAGCTTGCCTTCAGAAATCATGGGTACTCCATCACTGGAGGTATTTAAGAAGAAACTAGACAGTCACTTGTCTGAAATGGTATAGGTTCTCCTGCTAGAGTCGGGGGCTGGACTAGAAGATTCCCAAGGTCCCTTCCAATTCTATTCTATTCTATTCTATTCTAATTCATTTGTCTAGTTCTAAATGTAGGAAACACACACACACATATTCTGATGCCTACTCTCAAAAGAAAAAGTTTATCTTTTGAGAGCAGGCATCAGAATTTCATTTTTAATGTGTGCCAGTATGTACACAGAAAAAATGACAATAAAGGTCATCATGCTTTGAACTTCCATGTCAGCAATGGACAATCTTAAATCGGATTCACACTTCACACGGAGTCTGCTGGGACTCTCTATATCAGTGGTAGAGAACCTATGGCACGTGTGCCAGAGGCGGCACTTGGAGTCCTCTCTGTGGGCACACACACTGTTGCCCCAGCCCCGCCTCTCACAGCCCCCTCCTCACCAGCAGCCCCCCTGGAGGAGAGTCACCCCCAGGCATGGCCCACACAAAGCAGCGCAGCCAAGGACATGGTAGCCGGGCAGTGGGGACAAGACTCAGCCCTTGCGCCCCATCGCGCACAGATGATGCTGCAGGGCACGGGCAGAGGGTGTGGCTGCCATGGCGCTGCTGGGCTGCCTGGATGATCTGTGGTGGGCCGTGGAGGTGGTGGGTGGCCCAGTGGGCAGGGTGGAGCAGGGACGGGGGTGGGGGGAGGTTTTTGGGTACTCAGTCTCTAAAAGGTTCACCATCACTGCTCTATATAAATGGGCATAGTATCCTCCCCTCAGTGTGACTATGGAGTCTCACATCAAACTGTAGATCACAACGTGACTGACTGTAGGGGAGGGCATATAATGGTTCAGTATCTCATTTTTTTTAATATAAGCGATGCTACACTTCAATAGTCAGATGGCCTAGACTTAGTTTTTTTAACATTTATATTTTATTGCAGAGGTCCCCAACCCCCAGCCCAAAACCAGGCCATAGCCCATTTGGAACTGGGCTGCAGGAGAGTCGGGCGAGCGCGTGGTTGCGCAGAGCTCCAATTGTGCAAGTGGCGGGTTCTCTCTCATGCATGTAGCTCTACTTGTGTGAGTGGTGGGCGCTCACGCTCCAAGCTCCATTTGTGCACAAATTGAGCTGTGCTCTCACATGCTCCTGCCTCTCATACAAAACCATCTCTTCTCCCCCTGTGCTGCCAAGACAGAAAGGTTAGAGGCTGCTGTTTTATTGTATTTTACTAATCTAGGTGAAATATTAAGATATATTGCTAGTCCATGTATAATATGCCACACGCTAAATAGATAAATTTAACAGGAAAAAACATTCCTGGATGGACATTCTTTGTGAGAGCACAGAGATGCTTCTCCTTGGCTGAAAAAAAAATCCTTTAGAGCAGGCATGTCAAACTCATGACGTCACATGACGTCGCGCAACATATCGGGCCGGTTTTGCCATTGCTGGCAATGGGGTAGGCATGGCTTCCACGTGATGTGTCCGGCTCGCGGGCTGGCAATTTGACACCCCTGCTTTAGAGAAACCACTCTGAAAATAATTTCCTTTACTAATTAACACTAATTATAGCCTCATAATTGTCCTGCCAAAGTTCCTTTAGATCTTAACTCATTGTGTTACACCTAGATGAGTTATTTAATACTTTGATATTTCTGTTATTTAGCATTTTAGACTTAGTGTTTAGATAACATGCTTTGTACATAACGAGAATATTGTAATCCTTAGCAAAGTGAAGAGCAAAAACTATGAGAACAAGCTCCTTCGGATCCAAGTCTCTTAAAAATATACTTACTATTAAGATCAGAAAGTACTTTCTTCTTGGTAATGTTATACTGATTCACCAAATAGTCGATTTGCTACAAAGAAAGCAACAAACATAGGACTGATCACATACCCATGTTTACCAAGGCAGTAATATTCACTTGCAGCATCACAAAAGCTCTTGAATTCTAGCTTTATGAGATAGATGACAGTTCAATATCCAGTCTACTTCATAGCCTGATTGGGAATCATGATGACTATATAAACTCTTAATATTAACTACTGGTAAACTTGAATAGAAGTTTTTTTTTCTAGAGGCATTTGAGGGTAACGGATAATCAGACAGATCTTCTACTGTGAGCCACATCCCATTCAAAAGTTTAGATGAGCATTTTTATTATGGCAAGATTCTCACAATTACTGGAAGAGTGTTAAAAATAAAAGTGCTGTGCAATATTGCAATTAGTGGAGCACACTACAATCAATATAATCAATTGTTAAATAGGAGCTCAGTTTTAAGTGGCATGCTTTTAATAATATTTTAAATATCTTGTACTATCATGTAAATATAAAATTGAATCCAGCCACAGAATCATGGCATGCCTACTTTCCTAACAGGATACGAAGCCACCCAAAAGAAAAAGGTACATTACCCCAGGAGTTCCATTCAGGAACATCTGAAGGTCTCTGAAATTATTGCTTATGAGTCCCCTGGCTCCTTGGACTTGGCTTGTGAGATGCTGGTTAGCCGCACAGGCAAAAAACACCCCAATACTAGGTAGTAAGAGAAGAAAGAATTATTCTTATTTTTGCAGAGTTAAATAATATTGTTATCTGATTCCAAAGCACAGTAAAATTATCAGGGAACTATTTTCTGATATTGAAGTGGCCACTTATGTTGCTGTCTGTTAATATCTGTTCTAGAGAGCCAAGTTAGTGTATGTAATACAGGTAGTCGTCAACTTATATTTACAATTGAGCCCAAAATTTCTGTTGCTGAGTAAGATGGTTGTTAAGTGAATTTTGCCTCACTTTATGATTTTTTTTGCCACAGTTGTTAAATGAATAACTGCAGTTGGTAAGTTCTTAACAGAGTTGTTAAGTGAATCTGGGTTTCCCACTGACTTTGCTGGTCAGAAAGTCGCAAAAGGTGATCAAATGACCCTGGAACACATAAATAGTAACCAGTTGCTAGTCATCCAACTTTTGATCACATGACCATGAGGCTGCTGCAACACTTGTATGTGTGAAAACAGTCGTAAGTCACTTTTTCAGTGCTATTGTAACTTCAAATGGTCACTAAATGAATTGTTGTAAGTTGAGGACTACCTTAATGATTTAATCTTATGATAATACTGAAGAATGGTTTTAAGTTCATATCTTTGGGCAGGGTCCAAATAATCTGAATAAGGGGGGCGAGAATTGAAAGAGCCACTGTTGGCAGACTTAGTCAACAAAAATTAACAATATTCAATACTCTTGAGTTGTTCCATATTGTTATTTCAGCATCCACAATCTCCTTTCAAGCATTGCTGGAGGAAAAGACTTCACAAGTTTTAAACTGTGGTTTAAAAAGAAAATTGGTAGATTACCCATTTTATTAAATTTATTATGACCACCTACTTCAAAAGGCAACCATAAGAAATACAACTGGATGGGATTCTTGGAGTTTGAAAAATTTTGGTTGTGTAATTCCTTATCAACTGGGCAGCTCATTGGGAACTACAATGTGTTGCTTAGGAGGGATTCTCATATTTTCCCCAGATCTCCTCTTTAGCCTAGGTAGCTTAGACTTGTCACACCAGATACATGGAGTCCACATATTCAGAAGTCTGGTAACTTTAAATATGACTTACTGGAAGATGCAAGTTATAATTGCAGTGTAATGTTTAGTTTCCTTGGCAAACAACTACTTTAAACAAGATGATGGGATAATTATACCCTGATACGTCACAGTGGGGACACTTATATGGGATGCTTCTAAAGAGTATTCCAGCATTTAATATAGCTAGAAAAATAGTATTACTTCTGATTCTGATTCTCAGGACCACATTTTAATTAATTGATGTATAACAGAGGGATAGCATCAAGATCACAAGACATGATAGTATCACTCTACATTGCACTAGTGAGGCAATACTTAGACTAATGCATCCAATTCTGGTCACCATGATACAAAAAATATGTTGATATCCTAGAAAGAGCAACAAAAATGATAGGGGTCTGGAGGCTAAACTCTATGACAAATGACTAGGTATGTATAGAATCGAATCGAATCGAATAGAATAGAATAGAATAGAATAGAATAGAATAGAATAGAATAGAATAGAATAGGAGTTGGAAGGGACCTTGGAAGTCTTCTAGTCCAGCTCAAGCAAAAGAACCTATACAATTTCAGACAAGTGACTGTCTAGTCTCTTCTTAAAAATCTCCAGTGATAGAGCACCCATGATTTCTTAAAGCAAGCTGTTCCACTGGTTAATTGTCCTCACTGTTACAAAGTTTCTCCTTAATTCCAGGTTGCTTTTATCTTTGGTCAGTTTCCAACCGTTGTTTCTTGTCCTGCCCTCTGGTGCTTTGGAGAATAGTTTGACATCATTTTGGTTCCTCTTGTCTGAACTTTTCCCAAAGTCTCAACATCTTTTTTGTAGTATGATGACCAAAATTGGTTGCAGTATTCCAGGTATGGTCTTAACTAGGGTTTTATAAAGAAGTACTAATACTTTGCATCAGGGTTTTTTTGTCATAGAATGCCCAGGACAGAGTTCCGGCACCTTTTTTGGATGGAACTTTGTAGGGTAGGCAAGGCGGGTTGTATGACATGTGTGAGTTCCAGCACTTTTTTTTTTTTCACAAACAAAGCACTGCTTTGCATGATCTTGATTCTATGCCTCTGTTTATACAACCCAGGATTGTATTAGCTTTTTTAGCTGCTGCACACTCCTAGCTCATAGTCAAGTGATCGTCCACTAGAACTCCAAGGTCCCTCTCACGGTTACTCTTTTTGAGCCAGGTCTCACCTAATGTGTACGTAAACCTTTGATTTTTCCTCCCTAAATTTCTCCACATTGAAACTCATTTTCTTGGATAGGGCCCATTATTCAAGTTTGTCAAGATCTTTTTGGATCCTGAGCTTGTCTTCTGGGTTGTTAGCTATTCCTGCCAGTTTAGTGTCATCTGCAAATTTGATGAATTCCCCTTCTAGTCCCTCATCTAAGTCATTTATGAAGATATTAAACTAAGAGTACTGGGCCTAAGACAGAGCCTTGTGGTACCCCACTGCTTATTTCTCTCCATGTGGATTTAATAACATTGAGGATTACTCGCTGAGTACGGTCAGCCAGCTACAAATCCATCTGGTAGTGATGTTGTCTATCCCACCTTTTTTTTAGCTTACAAAGAAGTAGGTTGTGGTCTACTTTGTCAAATGCCTTGTTGAAGTCTAAATATACTACGTCCACAGCATTTCGCTAGGAGCACAAGTAGTGTTCTCATCAGTACTCCCTATGAAAGGCCAACACCCATTGAGGGGAAAAAAATCTAAAAATAAACCAGTGGCTAAAGGTTTGGTGTCACAAAGAAGCAGCTTTTCAAAGAATTTTGAGGCTTTGTTTACCTTAAAGAATCATTTTATTGCTACATAGCTTCGGCAGGTACCTAATGAAGCCAAAAACTGAACCTTCCCTCCCCCAATCACCCGTAACAAAGCATAACTCACTCCATCATTTAACAGTCATCAATCATGTTCTCCAATTAGTTTGAAGTGCGAACCCTCCATCCCGTAACTCCTCTAGTTACATCTGACCTTGGAAATACTGTACTGAGATATGGTTGTGGCTATCTATCCCCCAATTACATATTTTCCCACCCGCTAGTCAAATATTGTTTGACTTTTACTCTAGAAGTGATATACAGGTTAAATAAAACAGGTTTGCTTCTTCATTTATGTCAAGCAAGAACATCCGATGTTAACAGTCTTGACAGCTTTGCTGTTAGCCTTTGTTGGAATATTCATGAACAGGAAGAGTCATGTGGTAACTCAGTCAGCCAATGTGAAGAAAGTGCTACTGAGTCTGTGCAAAAAAGAGTATTGAGTTAGGAGCTGGATTTCCAGTCTCAAGGTTTATCTCTGGTCTGTCTCTGTAAGAAGTCTTCATTAAGATATGTTGCTGTAAAGAAGAATGTATGGTAATGTAAATATTTTAATATAAAGAAGTTATTTTGAATCAGCTAAATGCAGTCAACTGTGAGAGCTTCTGATTTATTTTTCACCAATAGAGAAATTAAAATTCTCTAACAGCCTTGTTTCTACCTTCTCTGTTCTAGGTAATTATGCCTATTTTCCCCCTATCCTTTTTTCTGCCTTTTTGTGCTTGTTTTTCTACCTTTTATTTATTTAATCTTCTTACTATTATGTTAGTTTTATTTATCCTTTTCTTCCCTCTGTTTTTTTAAAGTTTTTGAGCTCCAATTCCTCCCTAGCTTATTATTTAAAATTTACCTTATTAATCCTCTTCTTCCTTGATTTCTAATGTTCCACTCTTGTCCTTATTATTTGCCGATTTATTTATCTTTTATTTTCTGCCCTGTATTTATTTTTATTCTCTAGTGGGGTCTACCCTCCCTTCCTATTGGAACCTCACGCTTAATTTTTGCCTTCACTTCCATTGTTTGCTGCTCTGGCTCTTGTTGTTTTCTCTGTCAGCTCCATTCTGTCTTTCGGTGTTCGAGTCGGCCTCATCTCTGCTCTTGTGTGATCTGCCGTTCAGCTTTCCAATTGTCTCAGCTCCACTGTCTGGTCTGCTCCAGTCAGCTGGCCACTCAGCTCTAGAGATCAGAGCTCTCTAACTTGATGCTCCTCTGCTGCTGCTGTGCTGCCCATCTCTGTTGCTGCTACGATCTCCCCTTCACTGATCCTGCTGCTGCATTTCTCCCCTTCACTGATTCTGCTGCTATGTTTCTCTCTTCCACATTTTTTGGCACCACCAATTTCTCACAGCTGACAGATTGTTCCAGGCCCTTTGTCCTCTGCCAGACCAGACAGGCTGCCAGGCTAGCAGGAGGTAGGGGAGGGGGCCTGCTGATCTCGCTGGGGAAGGAATGTGGATCAAGTCCTCCACAAGTCCTCCACCTGGGGCAAGTCACTGGGAAGGGTTGAAGGGCTGGAAACATGCAGGGTGAGGGCTGTGGTAGTTGGGCTGCCTCTAGTTTCCTGGGCGGTGGATCGGGATCTTGGCTGCCCCCTTGAGCTGGGCTGCCTAGATTGGAGTATTGGTCTAGGCTATTCCTGAATATATTGTGATCCACCAGTTCACTGCCTCCAACAGCCTCCCTTCTTGTCTGCTATTCAGCTGCCTGTTCGCTGCTCTCAATTTCCAGTGTTGGGCTGCTTAGTTGGGCTCCTGAGCTGGATCTGTTGTTCTCTATTGCTGGCTGCCTCCAATTCCATGTGTACCATTCATTTACTACGCTGCTGTGTTGCCGGTGTTTTCTTCCTTACCCCAATTTCTTCTTTTCCTTTATCTTTTCTATCTTCCTTATCTTTCTGCTCCTTTTTCCTCCCCCTTTCCCTTCTCCTTGTACCTTCCTACTTAGTTTAGTAACTTCTCTCCCCCTGATCTGATACTGCTTCCTACGCTGCCACCTAATAAGGAAAAGGATTAGCAGCTATCTTCTGGTACTTGATAGCTGTCTTCTGGTGCTTGAGGGGCTATTACAGGGAGGAGGGGGTTGACTTACTGTCCAAAACACCAGAGGACAGGACAAGAAGCAATGGATGGAAGTTCATTCAAGAGATATCCAATCTGGAACTACAAAGAAATTTCCTAATAGCAAGAACAATTTATCAGTGGAACAGCTTATGTCCTGGAGTTGTGAGCAATTTGTACCATAAGAGGCCCATGATTTAAAAGTCCATCTGTTTAGACTGATTGGTGATAACTGTGTTCACTTTTCAAGCATTCTACAGATTAAAGGGCTACTCCTTGAATATATGATTATCTTTTATCTTGCAAAAGTCACAGTTAATCAACCATGTCTTTCCATAAAACATTTGCAAAGAAGTGTCCTCTCCAACATGCTAGAGACATGTCCACCCACCACTACTATTGTGCATCTTTCACACAAATCAGAGGGCTATTGGGGATGAAACTGGGAACTGTGCTAATATCTGTATATATCTTCATCCCTTCTATTAAATTTTGTTAAGCTCAAAACAAGGGCAAAAGCCAGAATGAGAATGTTTGTCTTTAGTACTTTGGACTCTGAAGGAGATCAGTGAATATCATCATGTTTCTAGGGACAATAATGAGATTTATTTGTCTTCTACAGACCAATCAACCTGACATCAATACCTGGAAGATCCTGGAAAAGATAATGAAGCAACAGATCTGTGAAGACTTAAAGCAAGCAAAGTTATAACCAGAAGCCAACATGGATTTGTCAAAAACCAATCATGTCAAACAAGTCTTATTTCATTCTTTGACAAAGTGACTATATTAGTGGACCAGCAAAATGCAGTGGACATAGTATACTTGGATCTCAATAAGGCATTTGACAAAGTAGATCAAAACCTACTTCTTGGTGAATTAGAAAAATGTGGGATAGACAGCATCACTACCAAATGGATTTGTAACTCGCTGACAAACCATACTCAGTGATGTTCTGTCCCAGCCTACTTGAATACTTGCTCAAGCATTTTACTCACAAGAAACCCCTCTTCATGGAATCAGGCAGGATCCGCAAGAAAAAACAAAGCCCTTTTATTTTTACATATCTGACTCAATGTCCAAGACTTCAGAGGCAAGCAACACAATCCACAAAAATCCTCAGCACAAACAGTTGCCTTCAGCAACCAGCACCTCCCACACCTTCCCCCTTTATAATCCAGCCGGGGCATGGCTTCTTAATGGCTTTTCCTTTGCTTCTTGAGCTGCCTCACTGCCTTCCCCTGCCTTTCTTGTCTCTCTTCTCTACGCATCCATGCATCCGGGATTGGCCCCAGCTGTTCCTCTTCGTCGCCTAACTCAGGCTCCCAAAACAGCTGTGTCTCTGCCCGAATGTGAGTAGAGGGGCGGGCCTCCTTGTCTGAATGTGAGTCTTGGTGCTCCTCAGAGCCTTCCTCTGACTCCAGTGTCACTCCAGGCCCCTCCTCCTCATCTAAGACCTCAGACTCAGCTGCCAGATCCACTGGCTGGTGAGGAATCACAACAAGTTAGTCTTCAATGGTACTACATCCATATGGAGAGAAGTAAGCAGTGGAGTACCACAATGCTCTGTTTTAGACCCAGTACTCTTCAACATTTTCACAAACAATTTAGATGAGGGAATAGAAGAGGAATCCATCAAACTTGCAGATAACACTAAACTGGAAGGAATAACCAACACCCCAGATGAAAGAGTCAGGATCCAGATGGATCTCAACAGACTTGAACACAGGGGTCTATCTAATAAAATGAAATTCAGTGTAAGGTTTTACAGTTGGACAAGAGAAATTAAATGTACAGGTACAGATTAGGGGAAAACTGGCTCAATAGCAGTAACTGTGAGAGGGTTCTTGGAGTCCTAGTGGACAATCATTTAAATATGAGCCAGCAGTGTGCAGCAGCAGCCAAAAAAGCCAATGCAATCCTAGGCTGCATTAACAGAGGGACAGAATCAAGATTATGTGAATTATTAGTACTGCTTTATAAAGCCTTAGTAAGACTACACTTAGAGTACTGCATCCAGCTTTGGTCATCAGATTATTAAAAAAATCTTGAAACTTTGGAAAGAGCACAGAAAAGAGCAACAAGGATGATTAGGGGCTGGAGGCTAAACATATGAAGAACAGTTGCAGGAATTGTGTATGTCTAGTCTAGTGAAAAGAAGGACTAGGGGTGACATGATAGCATCCTTCCAATATTTGGAGGGCGGCCACAAAGAAGAGGCGGGTCAACCTATTTTCCAAAGCACAAGAAGGCAAGACAAGAAACAGTGATGGAAACTAATCAAGGAGAGAAGCAATCTAGAACTAAGGAGAAATTTCCTGACAGTGAGAACAATTAACAAGTGGAATGGGTTGCCTTCAGAAGTTGTGGGTGCCCCATCACTAGAGGTTTTTAAGAAGAGACTGGACAGCTACTTGTCTGGAATGGTATAGCATTTCTGCTTGAGCACTGGGTTGGACTAGAAGACTTCCAAAGTCCCTTCTAACTCTGTTATTCTGTTTCAGTTTCTATTCTCTAAAACATCTGAAGGCAGAACAAGAAATAACAAATGGAAACTAATTAAGGAGAAAAGCAACCTAAAACTAAGGATAGCTTTCCTGACAGTGACAACAATTAACCAATTTTGGTTAATTGCCTCCAAAAGTTGTGGGTGCTCTATCACTGGAAGTTTTTAAGAAGCTACTGCACAACCATTTGCCTACAATCGTATAGGATCTCCTACTTGGGTGGGAGGTTGGAAGACCTCCAAGGTCCCTTCCAACTGTATTGTTCTGTTCTTAACAAGAAATCAGTACATAGTTTCATTTGTTCAGATTGCTGCAGGCTGTCTTCTCTGAGAAAGCATTGAGATGTTTCTTTGAGGATGTCTTAGGGGGCTTTTCTGTACTGTCTTGAGATAGGAAATAAATATATATGTAGTTTACAACAAAATAAATTCCAGAAGAGCTCAAGTGAAAATGGTTTACAATTTTAGATTTCTGCCTTTCCAGTGGGGACTGAATCCAACTTAGTAATAAAATTTGGAATGCTTCATCTCTATCATGAAGACCTAAAGTTTCTGATAACTATCATGAAAAAATATTAGAAGTCTCTAAATATGTGGGTATAATTCCTGATCCAATTAATTCTCCAGAAATAATAGACAGATTTAGTTCTTTGGCAGTCAACCCAAATTTACTCTGTGTTTAGCTTACCTGCTTAGCAATGTAGCTACCAAAAGGAGGCTAGTGAAGCAGCCCCTCCGACAGTTGGCATTCTTCTTCTGTCTCTGGTGCATTTCTCCACCACAATTGTCACAATACCGGCACAGACAGAAACAGAGCCCAATCAGCGGAAGCAACAGGACAAATATGATTCCGAGGGCAGCTGAGATTATGAACCCGATTTCATAGTAAACTGCCTGTAGTTTAGAGAAAGCAGCAGGTGTTACAACTTGAAAGGAAGGGCTTGATGTGTTTCTTGAATTAGGGAACTACCATCCATTGGATGCAAATTCTTGAGCTTTAGACAGGAGAGGCAGAAGGCACTACTAGCCCCTCTCTCCTCTGCCAATTCTGGGAAAGAGCACACAGGAGAGCAACTATCAGTTCAACTCAAAAGCACATTTGAAGCTGGATCCCTAACAAATTCACAACTTTCCAAAAGTGTAACTTCAGCAGCATCAATGCACAGGTGAAAGTGTTCCAGTCAAACAGATCACTCTTATGCTACCTCTGACGTACTCTGGATCTTTTTTTCCAAAATGATAGGGGCATGAAATATTTGAATCTTCTTGAGACTTCAAGAGAACCATCATGGTGTACATAATACAGTTTAAATCCATGAAAAAGGGTTCCATGAAAAGCAAAAAGTGCTTCCATAAGATCTCAGAATACTACCATGTTTCCCCGAAAGTAAGACCTACCCAGAAAATAAGCCATAGCTTGATTTTTGGATGTGGACCTAATATATGCCCTACCCCAAAAATAAGCCCTAGTTTTGGGGTGAAGCACAGGCCTAAAAATCAAACTAGGGCGGGGGTGGAGGAATGGAGTTGCCCCATGCACCCTGCACTCATTTAGCAGTCCTCTCATGAATTGACACCTGCCTGTCCTCACCAACCCACTTCTGTGGCATCCTCAGGCTGCATTTTGCAGTCAGAGGCCTTTCTGGAAGGCCTTTGCAGCCGAGAACCAAGCTATGGATTCAATCCTTCTGGAAAGGCCTCTGACAGCAAAATGAAGGGCAGAGCTCCATTCTCAGCTGCTCCTTTGGCCACAGAAGAGGGCTGGCTGGGTAGGGCTGTTGGTGCTGCTGCGGCGAGGGGAGTGGAAAAGACTCCCCCCGAAAATAAGACCTGAAGGAAGAAAAAAAAGACCGGATCTTATTTTCGAGGAAACATGGTATATTTGTTGCTGTTCCATGTATAAATTCCCTAGACCAGGGGTCTTCAAACTTGGCAATTTTAAGACTTGTAGACTTCAACTCCCAGAATTCCCTAGCCAACATACTGTAGCTGGGTGGGGATTTCTTGGAGTTAAACTCCACAAGTCTTAACATTGCCAAGTTTGGAGACCCCTGGCCTAGACTAACCAAAACATGACAGGAGTGTATATAAAGTGTATAAATATACAAATATAAATATACAAATATATACAAATACAAATATAAATATTCATGGTATTTTAGAAGCAAAAGGTGTGTGAGATAACAACAAAAAATTTACCTGAAGAGTCAATACAACATTTTCGGGCTGTGGAAATCCGAGGAAAATGGTGTACAGAGCAGCAGGAATAAAAAGAAAGCAGGTGAGCAATAAATGAACCACTCACAGAATTTATGCAGCCACCAACTCAAGTGAAAACAGCAAGGAATAATTGATTAAGTAAATCAAGTATTTACAAAGCAAAACTCTGACAATGTGAAATACCTTTGGTTTTTAACACTTAATTGACATTTAATTTATGCTAGTCTCACTAAGAGAACTACCATGTTTCCCTGAAAATAAAACCCGGTCTTATATTTGTTTTGCCTCCAAAAGAGGCAGTAGGTCTCATTTTCAGGGGATGTCTTATTTTTTTCCTGACACCTGCCTTGACTCACGGCGGTGGCGGCACCAACAGCCCCATTCAGCAGGAGCCTGCATGGCAGCCAGTCCACTTCTGTGGCCGCTCACAGCAGGAGGCCATGTAGCCTGCCACACCATGCTGCCATGAGGCAAGGCAGGTGGGGGAGAGGATGGAGCTGCCCCCAAGTGCCCCATAGGCGCCCAAACACTTTTCACCCAGAGGGAGAATGGAAGCTTCGTCTGTTTGCAAATGGGGCCCTTGGAAATGGAGCAAATCGCTCAATGTCCAAGCACCCCACCTGCAAGCAGACAAAGCTTCCAGTCTCTGTCATTTCTCTGCCTGGGCGAAAAGTCTTTGGGCACCTATGGGGTGCTGGGAAACTGAGCGAATCACCCAAACACTTTTTGCCCAGAAGGAGACTGGAAGCTTTGTCTGCTTGTGAATGGGGCGCTTGGAAATGGAGCAAATCGCTTCCAAAAAATCAGGCTAGGGCTTATTTTCGGGGTGGGTCTTATTTTTGGGAAACATGGTAACTGCTTCTTGGTACAGGCTGCGTTTTATTTCAAATTGAATCCTTCAACAGAATGAATTAACATTTGCATATAAACTATTGGGGTTTTTTTTTAGCTTTGGGGGCAGAAGTATATCATTTGGATTTCATTCTTTTTTTAACATCCTGTAGAAATAGAGAAACCCTACTTGGTTTAAATGTTTTTTCTAAATGTACAGTTTTTCTCAACTTCAGTGTTCAATAGTATCCTCACCGGGGAATTCTGAGAGTTGGAGTCCACATATCTCAATGTTGCATAGGTTGATAAACACAGATACAGAGAGTTAAATTCCCAGGGGTGTATCAGCACAGCAGTTGTGTCAAAACCAATTAATTCAGCCTCTGCTTTTATGTCTTTCAAAATGATATTTATGCAGGTTCAGATATAGATTAAACTTTACTTCCAGAGCTAAAAATTCTCCTTTAATTTCTCTTCTCTTTTTCTCTTTCCTGACATTAATTATAAATTGGTTACCTGAAAAAGTCTCTAATTCTTTAACAAAATAAATCTATAAAAAACAATTATTTGTCACTGTTTAGATGACCAGTTAAGCAGACACAATTCAGAGTATTGATTCAGACGTTCCATATTTCCTTTATTTAAAACATGCCTTTTTTACTGACTTATATAATGCACTTTTTACCAGTATGATGGGACCAAGATCAAAAATTCTTCACAAATACACTGTGGTTTCCTCAAGCCAGAGAACAAAGTTGGAAATATTTGAACACTTTTCAAGGAGGGCCTAAACCAACACTGGAGGCAGGAATGATCAACTGGGGTATACAATGTTTTGAGTTAGAAATAGTGATCTTAACTACTCCATAAGTGTTTCAAGCACAAAACAGCAGTTTTTAAAATCAAAAGAGGGATTCTGCATTCAAAATCAGGCTGTTCTGGACTCAAAACAGTACCGGGAAGGTCAAACGTTGGCATTATTCCAAATTCAAAATACTTCTTACGACTCCACTAGTCAATTATATCCCTGGATGTAAGCAGAATTGGCCTGAAGAAGAACTCATCAGAATAAATCCCTATTTATAAATCAGTTGCTATCACATCTCTCTTCAAAGAAACACTCCATAAGGACATGGTAGCAGATGGAGCTTTCAAATCATGGGGATCGGGCTGATGGTAAACCTTTCCTCATTTATATAATGAGCAAAGAATGCAGTGTTATTACATGCCTGAAAATGGAGGTCCACCACAACAATGCCAACTTTCACAGACAGGCATCTCTGATACTATAGGAATCTAAGAAGACCCTTACTGGTTTCTCAAACATAGCCCTTCCTAATGGTTGTCTGAATTTCAAAAATTATTCAAAAATGCATAAAAATGTAAAAATATAATATAGGGTAGGAGGAAATAAACATTGCAATCATGGTTTTAAAAACTATTCAACATATAAAAGGATTTAGACTTGACTTTTAAGTGTATGAGGTACAATAATGATATACAACAAAGTTACAGTGTCATTTACTTTGCATATCAGAAATTTCATCTCACTTTGTGGGGTAGATTGATAACCTCTAAGTCCTTTTTATGGTATTCAAAGGACAGTGTGTTTCAGTCATCTTCAAAATCCTCTAAAGCAATGACTTCCAGTTCCGGTTAGCGGCAACTGTGGTCGTTTAAAAAGACTTGTCTCTTCACCGGCTGATTTTCCTTTGCCAGTAGACCCCAAAGGGGGTTGAAAGTCGCCCTGGAGGGGCAACCACCGAGGAGGAGGCTTGCTGGTGACTGCAGGAAGGAAGCAGCTTCTCTCACAGCTCCAGCTGACTCCTTAGGGCCGACAGAGCAAAGATCGTCCTGTAAGATGGTCGATCATCTAGCTGCACCAGCCGAAGTCAAAAGAACAGCTAAGCATGAAGAAACCACCACGGAGAAATCTGGGTGAGCCTTTTTTTTCCCTCTTACCACCAACTATTTTTTCTGCAAAGAGCCTTTGGATGACTTCCCTGCCCTAAGAAAGCGGCGTTTGTCTATTTGGGAAAAAATATTTTGAATATAGAACAGCATTTATTGGACTTTCAACTTTTTGGATACTTGGGACCCCTGGAAAAACTTGTATTATAGAGCATTATTCTACTTGCTATATCAGAGATACTTGCTTTTCCCTACCTCCTTCTTCCTTATTCTCAAAATGAGATAAAAGCTTTTAACTTGGAAAGAAAAAAGCTTCTAAGCTCACTGAGGACATCTTGTGGTGAAAAGTGTTACTGCAATTGTAATGTTTCTAGGTGTTTGAAGATGGATTTGACTTTCAAATAATAACAAAAAGGAAAAGATAAAGGGTGGAAATAGCTGTGGGTTGACTTTGTGATCTAGAAACTGTGAAGGCAGATGTTTATTGACTTTTAATAAAATAGCTTCTACTAAAAGACTCTTTTACTATGGAAATGGAAAAATCTTACCCACAGCTTGATTATGAGCTTATACTGGAAAAAATATTGGAAGCTACAAAGTATATGAAATCATGGAGAAAAATTAAAGATCATTTTGCAGAACCACAAACTGAACCTCGAATTTTAAAAGATCAACCTATAGGCCAAGAAGAAGCCTATATGCAACAGTGTACACAATTTAATGAGATGGAAGAAGAACCTACTGACCAATTGAATTTTAGAAAAACTTTGGACCCAAAATCCCAGACTGAGACTTTAATTGATCACTCTACAAGTCAACTAATTATTACAGAAGAGGATATCTCACAAGTTTATGTACAAACTATGGAGAACTCTGAAGACCAAAGAATGACCTCAACTAAAACACTCTCACTTCTAAAACCAACAGGAACTGACTTCCAGATGCGATCTATTGGAAATTATGACAACTTGGATAATCAAGCTGTAATCATAATATGGAACAAAATTGACTATATTAGGCTACATGATACTGGAAGATGAGGAGGAGAACTTTGACCAGAACAATTTGTTGATAAATACCAGTACTCAAATATTGAGATTTGATGACATAGATGCGGCATCATGAAAACCAGCTTGGCACAGAAAAAAAGCCAGAGTTAGATTTTAAAATGTGATTTAAAATCTCACTTATTGGGTCAAAAAGGCTTTAGAGATCTGGATTGATTTGACAATTAACTGAGTATGTGAAATTAGTAAGATGACAATTTGTGTAATGATATGTTTGTTTTAGACATGATAATTATTTTGGTTGAGATTTAAACTTTATTTAATGGGTTGAAATGTTTCTTTATTTTTTATTCTGGTTATATAGAAAATTACTTTGTAATAGAAGAACTAAAGAGATTTACAATAAGAGAAAAAAGGGTATTAACCAATGATCTATTAAATTAAGAAATGGGATATATGTGAAAATATTAGAATGTTATTGTTGGAATACTATGTATGTTATAGAAGGGATACCCGAAGTCTTATTAATATGTTTATTTAAGATGAATTTAAATATGTTAATCAAAATTAGTGAAGCTTAAAAGCAGGATGATGATTGTTTGGACTGACTGAATTTTATGAAGAAATGGATTAAACTAAATTTGTTATATCATGTGAGGGAAATAGAGAGAGAAATCTTTAAGGTACTAACTTCAGTTATATATGTATGACTTCGTTTTTGGATGATTGATCCCCTCTGCCACAGTGTTTTCTTGCTGTAAATGTAAATGTAAATGTAAAAATTTAAAAAACCAATAAAATTTGTTTGAAAAAAAAATCCTCCAAAGCAATTATGTTTTCTCCATTATTGCAGGGAAGACAACTAATAATTTAGAAAAAGGGTCACACACAACCTCTATCAGACCATCTCTCCCAGTTCTAATAGCAAAGCAATGAAGGATGAAAGAGGTTTGGCCTGATAATTTGGCTCAGAAATCTCATAAATATATTTGACTGTAATTTTTAGGGCTATGGAATTGCCATGATCTTTGGAATGAGAAATTCTCCATCTCTTCAAAAGAACAAAATGTCTAAGTTGCACAAGAGATACATAGGAGATGATTTCTGGTTTGTGTCATGGCGATACAGCCAAGGGAAAGCGGGGCTCTCCTTCCCATGGTTGATTTCATCTGCCAGGGGGCCCGAAAGGGGTCTAAAGTCACCCCAGTGAGGTGATGAAGAAGGAGGGGACCCTCATTGATCACAGAAAGACAGCGG